CGGCTCGGTACGGTTCACTTTTGGGGGGTTTTCCACTGGGTACAGTACCTGGTACTTTTTTTAGTAGTAGTACCACCTCGGTTGGGGTTCTAACACACATCACAATGTCTAACAGAATAATAAGAGGTGTAAATATTTTTGTAATGCTCACCTGTGTGCCTGTGAAATTATACACAGACTCCATGTTCTTCCCATTGAAAATGTTGACCTAACAAGACAAAACCAGACAGAGATTCATGCAAGCTGTTTCAAGCAGGGTTGCATCACTTTAAATGGGTTCTCATCAGATTCCTGACCAAAAATAGTATGAAACTCACATAACCAAGAGCCTTCTCCCCTCTAGGAACTCCTGTGACATAATCTAGGGAGGCAGGAAGAATTAAAAATGAGTTGGACACAACAATGCTTTCATTTAGCAGAGAAGCTTCTTGATCCCAATGGAGAGAAAAATCTGATTTAAGCAATTCCCATGATGCACTACTTCAGTTTGCAATACTATAGGGCTGATATTTGGAGCAGGTCAGTAAAGATCAGCTAAATCAAGCCACTGACAACTTGTGGTTGTTGGTGCTTAAAATTGCACTACCGTTCAAACATTTGATTGTAAAAATACAGTAAAATACATTCATATTGTGAAATATTATTACCATTTAAAATAACTGTTTTCTATTCAAATCTATTTTAAAAGGTAATTTATTCCTGTGATGCAAAGCTGATTTTCTAGCAGCCATTACTCATTAGTCTTCAGTGTCACATGCTCCTTCAGAAACAAATTATAATATACTGATCTGGTGCTCAAGAAAAATTTACTATAATGATTTTTTCCAGGATTCTTTGCTGAACAGAAAGCTAGAAGGAACAGCATTTATTCGAAATAGTGATCTTTTGCAACAAAAAAAATGCAGCAGGCGCCTGATATCCAAACAAGTTTACCGACAGCTCACTAGGTTTACACAAATACAACTTTATCTATACTCACCGTTTGTTGTCAGGATTGAAGAAAGCCACAGAAAATCCAAAGTAACTTCCTGGAGGTCCAGCGAATACTGTGGGTTTGCTACTGTCCAGATTAAAAGAAAGTGCTTGTTGGAAGTAGAAGAGAGCCACTAGAGCCCAAATCCAACAGCAGATGAGATGTTTGCCCATGGTTTGTATCTGTGTAAGGTATGAGAGTAGATGGAGATCGCGCTGTTTGTGGGTGGACGTCTGGATCAGCAGCACATATGATCGCCACTGATTCCGCACTCCATAATAACACAATCCCCGCAACACTCACACTAACAATCCAGCGGAGATGTCCGTTACATTACTGCAGGCGGCCTGCTGCAATAAAACGCATCCGTTTCCAGCCTGACCTGTAAAATGGAAGCAAAAAATCTAAAAGTAGGACAGAGGACTGATGTAGCCCTGCTCGGATGGAGCCGCGGGATGTCCCACTGAACAGGAAGTGAAAATAACCCAGCCTACTGAAACGTCACGGTGACGTCACGAGAAACTTCCGCAGCTTTTACCCGCGGGCATGAGTGAACTTGTAAACATTTTAAATGCCATTAAATCTTTGTGATTCCAGGCAAGAGGAATTCGTTGTTTAATTAAAGTATTTTGATTTATGTAGAACTATTGAAACTGCGCCCCCTTGTGTTATGAAAGGCACGAATTCATAACATTTTATCTGCATTCAGTTCAGTCAATAATAAACAAACGTGGATTTATTTATTTAGACTGAAATTTCACGTAATGTAATGAATATAATTAAAATCTATCTGTCATTGCATTACACAACAAAAATAACACAGATGCAAACAAAAGCTCCCCGAGCCACACTATCTACAAGGTCCAGATAGCAGTGACCATTACAAATGACGGTTCAGAGTTTGAGGAAATGTTATTCATATATGGGCTTGTCTCTGATTCATGACGTTAAACACACTGGTGAAGTACGTCTCCAAGAATGCAGTCTGTAAATCCCCCTGGGATCCCAGATTCTGCATAAAGACATTGGGTGATTTTTATGTCTGGCTGGCTTGTCTTACAAGTAAAGAGGCTTACTTTCAACCCTTAACATGCTGTCAATTCAACTGTATATGGAACAACTGGTGTTATTTGCAGTGTTATAGAGTAAAGGGCCTGAGGAAATAAAAGGCACCGGTTGCAAATTGGAACATAAACGACATTCTCACTCTCTAGGGAACAAAGTCACTTTTGTTTTAGAGCTGACCAGTCATGCGTGTGGTCAAAGGGGCTTTTGAGACCATGTGATACATGGCAGAGTGGCAGAATAATGTTTGCCTGGTGCGCATAAAAAAAAAAACAGGCTACAGTAAACAGTACATTGTATAAATTACGTTCTTCAATTTGAATATTTTTGTCTTTTTCCAATTAGATATTCTGACTTTGTAGGGCTTACTAGAACTAGCAAATGTTTAAAAGTTTAACAAAATACCATATAGGACAAATTATTTCCAACAGAACAGTCATGATCTAATTTAACAGAAGGCTTTGTCTACATCTCCTCTGTATTTTCAGAAACACACTTCCATACAGAATGTTTTAAGAAATCTATAAAGGCAGCATTTATTTAATCAACAATACAGTAAAAACAGTAATTTAGTGAAATACTATTATAGTCTAAAATAATTGTATTAATTTAATACATTATATATTTTACAATTTATAATTTATTTCAGTGACTGAAAGCTGAATTTTAGCAGTCATTACTCCAGTCTTCAGTGTCACACGATCCTCGAAAAATCATTCTAATATGCTGATTTGGTGTTTGATAAACATTTAAATTAACAATGTTGAATATTTTTGAGGATTTTTTTTTTCCAGATGAGTAGAAAGTTCAAAATAACAGCATTTATTTGAAAATTAAATGTTTTGTAAATAGAACTTTTGAAAATCAGAAAGCCACCTGAGTGTTATTATTTGTTTTTATGCAATAGCAGGTTGTATGGTCCCCTCCCTGCTTACCGTGGTGACGGGATACATAGCAGACTGCAGTGTTGGGCAAGTTACTCTGAAAATGTAATCAAATTACTGAATTATAACACAATAAATATATGCATAATGATAATGACATAATGCTTTCATAATGTCTACAATTCGTGTGTTATAATGAGAGGATGCAAACACTCTGTAGCTGTCGCAGAAAAGGTTGTATTTTCTTTTAAGTATTTCAGTCATTTATTTTGTGAAAAGGTATTTAGTTCACAAATGGTGTGTAATGTATTATGAATGTTCATTTGGAAATTGTATTTGAGTATTATAAATACTGGGTAATAGTGACACCTGCAGGTGAAATATGTGTAACGTTAGTTGAATTTGTCACGTGATCTAGCCATGTGAGTATCAGATCCACAAAGAAATGCACAAATGCTAAGAGCTGATCGATTGTAAGATTATTTGTTAGAAGGAATGCCTAAATAAGATACTTATACTCTGAAAAGAAGACATTAAACGTTAAGACATCAGTTGAAGCGTGATTCTTTTAATCAGAAGAAAACCTTCAGGGGCCGTTACACACTCAATGCTGCAAACACGTGTTATAGCCTAAATAGAAACCCTGCATACGCTTGCACCAGAGTTGCCAAGTCCGCGTATTATACACGACTTTGGGCTTCTTTTTTTGTAGAGTTGCGTGAAAAAAATCCCGGGTTGCGGTTTTTTGGGCTTATTTAAAAAAAATATGGTTGTTTGTTAGGAAAACCTGACAAGCAACTTCGTTTCTTTTCATTTATGTTCACTGTATTCTCCAATGCATTGATTGACACTATGTCTGCTCACAGTTAATAGTCGATCAGTGCAAAAATATAAGTGCTGTAGCGTAATTTGGCAAATATTTTGCCCCCTCCGCACGCGCCTTCTTTTTGAACGTGATTTTGCTGTAATCCAAGCGATGATAGTAGATGTAGAAGTAGCAGTAGAGTGGGATGACTTTTTTCCTTTATAAGGTAGCCTAATTTTTTTAAATTTTTTTTTACAATGTTTTTGTAATATATTAATTATCACGGGCTGTAAAAAAACAAACAAACAAAAAACACTAATACTAAGAGTAGATTTGGTTCGAATAGCCAATATTTTAGTAGGCTATAAATATGTGGCTATGTTGAAGCTCTTGTGTTTTTCTCCTTTTCCATCTGTCCAATCCTATTCTGCTCACAGGTGATTGGAGATGAGTTGTGTTCCTGCTTTGTTGCAGTTTGCTGATTTTTGTAAAACAACTTGATTTTGCTTTTCAGATAAAAGGGTAGTTTCAGTTTAATATGTTGCGGGCTCATTTATTGGTAATAAATAATTGATAATAAATAATATTGATGATAATAAATTATCAAAAAATATTGGGCTTGTTTTTGAAGTTGCGGTTACTTATTTGTAGGGCTGGGTATCGATTCAGATGTTTCGATTCGATTTCGATTTTCAAGCTCTCAATTCGATTCGATTTCGATTTTCTAGATATCATACTATAGAGACTGTCTGTTCCCCGAACTAGAAAATACAAAAAACGTCCAAAACAATTTAAGTGTAACAATTTAATTGATGTTCAACAAATAAAAAACAGATATAATACAGATAAACAAATTATAAAGCTTGGCTTAATGAATATTAGATCCCTTTCTACAAAAGCGTTTTTTGTAAATGATATGATCACAGATCATAACTTAGATGTGCTCTGTTTGA